AGTATACAGAATCGAGAAAGTAGGGTCACTCGCGGAAAAAACCTTTTGTTGGCGTAGTAGGTTGACCCAGCACTTACCAGTTCATAAAGGATTATGTTCAGCACAAACTAGACACTCTGAGAAAAAAGTCAGTCAAAGAGGACCATAGACTTTCTTTCCTAAAAGCCCTGACATTTCAATGTTTTAAAGTTTCGCGAGATCTGCAAAAGTGAGGATACCGAGAAGATGCAGATTTATACTGAAAAGCTATCATGTCTGAATATTTCAGAGACTGACAAGCCGCTGGAATCTTATCGACATGAATTGACCAAACCTCACCAACAAATGGTGGTCTTCGTGACCATCCAAGTCCCCTGAGCCACAGAACATACTGAAATATAAAGTGTATCTAACGAAGCTACAAAGTAATCGTAAACAGTGGTTGATTCGTGATCAACGCGTGATCGGTAGCCATGGCGCTCTGTCGGCCTCTTCCTGATTGGCTTGTAGCGACGAGCCTCCAGAAAAAGTCGCACGGTTGCCACGCTCGGCGAGTTTTCGTCAGAGTGGTTGATCACATTCGCATGGATCACAAATCAATCTGTTGGTGCAATACGTGCAATAACTGTTGTAAAGGACATTATATAACAATAAATGGCATCACAAAGGTATATTCCAATTTGATCTGCAGCAAATTATGAACGGCATATACGGAGATGCGAAAACAAGCTCAAAAAGGTGAAGAAAATTTTTGTGCAATCTTTATAGTTAAATTTTTCCTAAGAGATAGCATCAGTGAGGGATTTTTTTTCTATTGTCTTATTTTTCACATTAATGCGATGTCGAGGTATGTGGCCCTATCGCAATTGAAAATAAGGTTTCGATAATCCTTCCATAAAGTTTCGATGAGTACATCTGAAATAACCTTGAGATATTCTTCAGGGAAATACAAAAATCTCCTTTTGTGTTTTTTTGTGCAGATTTATCTATTAAAATCCTATCCGCAATCTATTTTCCGTGCACACACCTTCAACCGAATGTATGCCATATATGATATTACCGTTTCCAACTTTCACCAAGGTTAATAGGAACAATAACAGCTCCCTACCCTTCCCCCCTATAAGAATATCGATTTGTAGCCTCACATTTCAAGGTTAGACTTCTTGTAATGTTTCTGTTCAACATTCGGCGATTTCTGACAATTTTCCCAATAAAACATGATCATTGTGACATTAAGCCTGGCAACGCTGCATAGTAGAGGGAACTCTCAGCGTCACGTTGATGGTTCGTCACCACGCACAGGATTGTAATCAGTTACGGATACCCGTTTATGAGCGCGAACGTTTTATGCACGTCTTAACTTGATTTTTCTTGCGGAAATTTAATATTAGTCTAAAATGTCTGACACAGATACAGCTGATGAAGTGGTTGAAATCAGCTTAACGTCACCCAAAAAAGGGCTAAAAAGCTTCATCTTAGCGCAGGTGAAAAACAAATTATTCTAAATATCTACAAGAACCAGATGCAAGAGAATAGTGGATTGGCTATAGAAAATATCGTATGTAAGGTTGCTGAAATTTCTGGAGTAGGTCGATCAAGTGTTTACAAAATCTTGAAGGAATATAGACAAAATCACTCATTATCTGAGCCAAAAACATATCCAGCGAGAATAAAAATCATCGAAAAAATAGATGACTTTGACAAAAGTGCCATTAGAAGAAAAGTACATCACTTTTTCTTCAGGAATGAAATACCTACAATAGATAAAATATTGAAGCAAGTGAATGATGATGAGGACCTGCCAAATTTTAAAAGATCTACGTTCCATAAGCTGTTGAAAGAACTAGACTTTCGATTTTTGAAAAGAGGAAGGAATAGTTTATTGATAGAAAAGGAGGAAATTGTTATCTGGAGGAGAGAATACCTTAGAAAAATTAGGCAATTCCGCGCTGAAGGAAGAAAAATTTATTATTTAGACGAAACATGGGTGAACGCGGGGCATACGCAGGGAAAGGTTTGGGTAGACAGATCTGTGAGGTCCTCAAGGCAGGCTTTTTTAGATGGCCTTTCGACGGGATTGAAAAATCCTGCAGGTAAGTTTCGAAGTATATGAAATTTTTTTTGAATGCAGATAATTCATTTTCTGATCGAATCAATGATTTGGAAGCTCCGAACTCAGTTTTGCTATCTCATCCAAGTTTCTGAGTATTTCCTTCACCCAAAAACTAATCTAAGACCCTATCCTACACTAACCTAAAAAGAGTAAGTTGCTTAATTTCGTCAGTTAGTGCGCTCGCTGAGAAGTAAAATAACTAATTACTTTCAGGCAAGGGAAAACGCCTGATCATTTGCCACATAGGTAGCGTAGATGGATTTGTTCCTGAAGCATTGTGGGCATTTGAATCCAAAAAAAATGGAGACTATCACGAAGAAATGGATGGTAACTCATTTGAAAATTGGTTCAAAAAAATTTTGCCGACACTTGATGATAACGCAATTATTGTGATGGATAATGCCCCGTACCACTCCAGAAAATTGGAAAAAATTCCAACAATGGCCACCAAAAAGGCAGACATTCAACAGTGGCTTGTCTCAAAGAAGATCGACTTCGACCAAACAATGGTCAAAGCTGAGCTGATAAATATAGTCAAGCGACATAAGTATAAATATGATTTAAAAATTGTTGACGAAAACCAAAATAAAACGATTCTCAGGCTGCCTCCCTATCACTGCGAACTGAATCCTATCGAGTTGATTTACACAAAATTAGGGTTAATTTAGGAGTTCCAAAGCATAATAGTGCCATTTTGACCTTCTTCCTATTTCTCATGTAAATTTTAATAGCAATCAAACTAACAAACTTTATGGAGTCTGTAGTTTATATTTGCTCAAAAAAATTTGCTCTGCGTTGTGAATAGAAGGTTGATTTGTAAATATTATTGGGTATATATGTAAGTTAATAATAAAATATGAACAATTTCAATTGAGATGGTCCACAAGTTTTTTTCGTGTGCGTTTTAGTAACATTTTGCTGAAATGGTGAATACAGAATTTTTTGCACTGATTCCTAATGTCGAAATATGATTAGAAAGGCGTGGTATATTCCTGATAATTTACTATGCTTTTGATAGAATTTACAGCAACACATATCTTGTACGACATTTTTTGATAGATCAGTCACAATAGCTTGATACGGCCCTGTAGCGTCTCCTACGGTTAAGTTCTTGATCACGTGCAATACGGGTGTATATGTTTGATTTTACTTTGTTTCTTCGATGGATACAGTTTAGGTAATGTAGAAAAATAAAGTTTTCTTGTTTTTACTGTAAAGCGACGATATACCCTATTGTGGAGCTAGAAAGCCGTTTAAGCTATAGCCTGTGAAATAGGAATTGCAAGGTTGAAATCTTTTATTGAAATCCACCATTTTGTTTTGTAATATCTCTATGTCGAAATTTCTCGCGGTTACAATACAGCTTTGGCATATGAAGTAAAAATGAGACCTTATTTTCTGTTTTCACTTCGTTTTAAGGAAGTTTGTAAGACATATTTACTGTTTTTCAGTCAACCGATCCTCGGGTTTGACCGTGAAGTGAACCTGCTGTTCGATGTTTGTACACCTTGTCTAGTGTGTACGGTTTCTTTTATGGTAATTCGAGCGGTATTTTGAACATAGTGAAAGTGAGGAAAAATCGAAATTTACGGTGAAGATCTTGGATCGGACGTGTATGGGTTATATTTGAACGTGCGATGCGAAGTGTTGAAACTGAAAGTAACTTTGATTTCGGGTGACGATGATTTGATGCTATTGTGACATTCTTTTATTGATATATTACATAATCACGAACAAATACAGTTTTACTAGTATGCAAGTTTTATTGTGTCTACAAGTTTTATCACCTAGCAAAACTTTGATAGGGTTGCAAAAAGAAACAGTGTATTAAAAGTAACATTAATCAGGTTACTTTATTTCCCTATTTATTTTTAACTATTATTCCAATAAGATGGTAAGGAAGGCTCAACGGATGACAGAAGCAACTATGGTGGTTCCACAGCGATGCATTTTGAGATCAAAACCCATTTACACTTGGTAATACAGTAGCTGTTCATCACTACCTGGAATCTAATCGTCCCGCCAAGCTTTTCTTGGCGGAGACAAAAATATCAGAGCCTGCACAGATTAATCATCTTGGCTTCATAAATTACAGGTGCACTCCAATCTCCAATAATTCTTTGAAATCACCCCGCTTCAGAGGTAGTTCTCCTCTGTGAGTTCAATGTCCACAAGGAGCTTTGGTTGGGCTCAAACAAGAGCGATGCAGCAGGTTGTGCAGTCGAAGCGTTCGCTATTACCTAAAGACTGACGTGAAGTCTCCCCTGGGTAACTCAGACCACGGTGTTGTGGAGGTTAGGTTGTTGGCTCTTGTCTAACAGACAGTCTCGGGACCCTTTGGCGCCGCGGTGCCTGGCATTAAGGGTTCTGTCTGAGCGACTGCTTCAGCGTTAAAAAACAATCAGAATCAATATAAGTACAGCGATCGATTATATCATGAAACATTGCATCTAAAGTCTGTATGATTTTGAACAAGTTTCAGATAAAACGATTAACCGTATCGTATGAATACCACATAAACCAAGAATTCTTACACCGCCGCTCTGTGTCCGATTTAAATTCGTTTCCGTCAATTAAAGTATTTCCTGAATCGTAATGCTAAAAAATACAACAAATAGGATCTTCCTTTTCTGTATGCAATGTTATCGCTACTTTCATTAAGGAAATTTGATTTTAACTTTATTGTTAATGCTCATGAATAAAAAATGTATTATTGTTCCAATCGCTTGCATCAGTACTTCTGATAGCGAATGGCTTTGCCACAGAGGGAGGGGGGGGGGGTCATAACCCTCTAGATCCTCCCTTGATCTAGTAATACACTTTACGTCGCTCTCATTTGGAGACACCAGTAGTGAGGGTAGATAGCAGATACGTAGGTAGATATTTATAAATTAATGATGTATATGTATGTATATTGAATTCTTTTCATTCCAGAGCCACAGGCCCTGACGACTCTTCTTAAAAAACGCACTATACACTTTTTGACACCCCCCGTATACGGTAACCAAGCGCAACCCTACGAATACAAACAAACCGAACATCCTGTGTATCGTGAAGCAGATGTCAAACCCTATCGACGAACGTAAACGTTACATGATGGTTACATTGTTTTAGTAAAAGTCCGGTTGTTTTGAATTTGAATGTGAATATGAGCGACCCAACAGAGACAGATTTGCTGGATGCCATCAAGGATTCCTTAGAGAAAAACGGGACTCTGGGAAGGCTGAATGGAGAAGTCAGGACTGCTATTATGAACGTGTTGAATCAGGTAATTTTTCATCATGCCATCTCGAAGTATTTTTTGTATTTTTTTGGGCAAGAACAAGTACTGGAATAACAACATTGGGGAAAGTTACTGAGCATCGGTAATATTTGTAGATGTTTGAAGTGGTTTCTGCACGTGGATCCATAACTGGAATTTGTAATTATCTTCAAAGCCGATTTTGTAAAATAAAAATTTTTCAGTTCGGATTGATATTTTTCCAGAATTTCGATCAGCACGACCCGCCGAAAGTCCCCGACGAAACCCGACTGATCAACGAACTTTTACGAGAATACTTGGCCTGGAATGGTTACATGTACACAGAGCAGGTCCTGGCAGCGGAGTCTGGACACAAAGGGGAAAGGATGTCCAGGGATGTGCTGACTACGAAGTTTGGGGTTATGGATGACGTCAAGACGGCTAGGATACCGTTGCTTTACTACATGGTGGCTGCTTTTCAAGCCGGGGGTGAAGATTGATATAATTAATGATATCAAGTAATCTATGTCTTTATACTAATAAATATAAATTGTGTAGATATATATATGATTGAATTTCTTTTTCGCGAAAAACATTAATTTTCTGGAGCGAGGTGGCCAGTGAATCGGTCTACCTCTTCCATCCCAACTTTCACTAAAGTTCACATGAGTTCTGACAGATGTAAATGAGGTAAGCTATAATCAGGTATCGAAATGGAGGACAGCAGCATAACACATATAGTCAACGCCAAACAAAGTGGCGTGCACGTCATCACGATAAAAATTCCCCGACCTAATGCCTAGGTTTCTATCACAAACAATTGCTCTATTGCAGTTTCATATTAATGTGATATATAAATTGTAAAATGGTCATTACTCTCTTATTATGGTTAATAGTCATATAAACATTGTTATTAAAATATCACATAAGTTGCTTTCTGATAAATTTAGACGCATTATGCGAAATAAAATGTTTTGCAAACGCTCCAATCACTTATCGACATGTAAACGCACTAAACCGATTTCGCAGCGTTGACACATTGTCACCTTGAAACTTATTTAAACTGGGAACTGACATTTGTATTAATTTTGACACTGAATCAATTTATGGCATTTCAAATCTTCATAAATCCTTTGGCCCCGCATACTGTAAATCAACAACTGTTTGTTTCAAAACAAAATTATTCATTTTACGAGTAGATAAAGGCAATTTTGGTATATAAAGATGACCAAACAGTTAAATAGTCGGTGTAAGGAACTCGTGGCCTCGTTAATGCACTACTTTGAGCAAGAAAGGGACAACAACGGGCCTTTGTTGCCTTTAAATGCTGTTCAAGAGGTAGGTTACTAATAATTATATGTAATGTATATTAATAATAGTGAAATTTTATTTCATTTTTTGTAGCGTGTTGCTGCTGCTTTAAAAATTAGTTTAAGGACAGTTAGTCGTATTTCCGAGGGTGTGAAAAGTGATGCAAATTTAGAATCGCCCAAGAAAAAGCGGAGTTATATTAAACGTGTAACCAACACAGCGACATTGGATACAAGTGCCATTCGAGAAGTGATCTATAATATGTATCACAAAAGTAAGATCTTATTATAATAACTTATCAGAAATTTGCATTAATTTGTTAACTAAATTATAATGTCATATTACACATGGTTTCAGAAGAACAAGTTACGATACAAACTTTATGGTCTCGATTAAGAGATAGGGCATTATTTGATGGTAGTGCCACGTCTTTAAGGCGGTTGCTTAGAGATCTTGGATTTAAGTGGCTTAAGGACAATCCGCGACGAGGGCTCATGGAACTACCAAGTATAGCTTTGAAAAGGGTGGAATTTCTAAGGCAATACAATCAAGCCAAGGTTGAGGCCTTATACCAGTTTGTCTTCCTCGATGAAACTTGGATATTTCAAAATGGGACCATAGGTCGCTCTTGGCAAAATGGAAACCAAAAAAGCGTGAAAGCTATTAAAACAGATGGTAAAAGGTATGTACTTTTACACAATTTGCACTATAAAATTTAAAACTAATATATTTTAGATACATTATATTACATGCTGGAAATGAAAATGGGTTTATTGAGGGTAGTGAAGCGATATTTTCTTCGAAAACAAAATTGAGCGATTACCATGGAGAGATGAACCAGGACAATTTTTTGAAATGGTTTCAACATCAGTTATTAGAAAAATTGGAGAGTCCATCTATGATTATACTGGATAACGCCCCTTATCACAGCATGATATTGAACAAAGTGCCCAACAATGCATGGACAAAAAAAAATATCCAAGACTGGTTGACAAATCAAAACATACCATTTTTAAACACAATGTTTAAAACAGAGCTATTGAGTATTGTTGCTCGGTACATAATGCTTCTTAATTATATATATTTTGGTCGACAGTTTATATTTCTTTTGTTTATTCCTATTCTTAAAATAACTGCTTTTTTAGAAACAAACCACCTAAAATATACGTGATTGATGAATTGGCGGAACAACATGGGCACAAAGTTCTTCGTCTGCCTCCTTACCATTGTATATTTAACCCTATTGAGTTAATTTGGGGCATAGCAAAAGGTTACTATAACAGACATATTGGTAGAGATGGTAACAGTGAAAAAGACTGTTTGGATATGTGGAACGAGGCTCTACAAACGGTTACCCCAGACATGTGGAAAAATAGTGTTCGACATACTGAGCAAGAAATTTTTAAATGGTATGAAAGAGAACGAATTTTTGATCGACCAGACATCGAACCTTTAATAATCAACTTTGAGAGTGATGAAGATTCAGATTCAGACAGCGCTGAAGAAAGAAACTCCGACTAACTTTATTGTACAGAAAAAGCTTACACCAGTAGCTTACCTAATTTTAGAATGCATTTTTCTGTATGAATTCTGTAAAATAAATACCATGCATAAAATTTGGAGGACCCCATTTGGATTTTTATTCAGTACCTTTAAGCTATCAATTAAATATGGTAGTTTCATAGTGTCATCTGATCAATAATTGTCATACTTAATGATTATGCAAGTACAGATCTATAATTTTATTATACTATTATTTTTGTTCTCATTTGAGGTTAATATTGCTTATAAACCTAGATATGTAAATAATAAATTTTATTATTTTACAAAAAGTTTGGCAACAATGTAAATTTTTCAACACACCCACCTTGATGACGTGCACGCCACTTTGTTTGGCGTTGACTATAAGTATCAGCTATCAATTTTCATCTAATCCAAGTGCGCTGATCATAAGTGTGTGTCTATTATAGCAAATGATTATACATCATATTACTGCTGATTGAACGGAAACAGATAGTATTTCGAAATCGATATCAACCGAAACATTAGAAAGAATGTAGAACAGCAGTTAGCTAAGCTAGTTAATTTCCTTCCTCGTCAGGTGCTATTTCAGAAACACAATACGACCATATTGACAATAATTAACAACTTGTTTTATTTTTCGGTAGTCGTATTGTTGTTCATCGACTTCCTGCTTTTACATTCCGATTAATAAATAAAATTTATGAGAATTGGGTCACCGATCATTTTGTAATGATTATTACATCATGCCGATGTATCTACCCATAAAGAATGACTTGTGAATTTCATTGTGGTACTGATACTATTGATTGACGTATTCTATCTGAAGATACCATCCAACATGGACATTACATTTTTCAATGTTATTTGGTCGGTTTTTGGGTATTTAGGCAGTCGTAAAATAAAAACAGATCAAATAACATTGGATGATGTCGCATTTCATTACATTTTTCTCTGTTTTCAGCGCTGGGATCAATTTTCACGGTTTCAATGTGAAAATATCAATTTGACCTTGAACTGACCTCCTATGATATTTATACCGTTGAAAAGGAAATTCTTTCTGTTTTTCTATTTCTGCGATAAAAATTCCAATTTGAAAAAATAAACTTGCCCTTGAAATGACCTCCAAGGTGAATGTCAACGTCAAATCCAAGATAATTTGATTTCATAAAGTTTTTTCTACCACCCTTAGCTTCCGATATATTGGGGTGTATCCATACTTCTGGGACACCATGTATAGTTTAAAAAGGTTAGTGTCTCTCTACATGAGCATATGCTTGCATATAAGCGACTAGAAACCCGCTCATTTTTGAAAAAAATGACTTGCTCTTTAAAAATTCGTGTAGACAATGGATTGAAACCTGTTATATGAACAAATGACATGTGCGCCCATTAAATTTTATTCTAAAGCTACAAATTACATTATCAGTCTACCCATGGATATATAAATTTGCCTGCCACAATCTGGCAACGTCGCACTACTCAAAGCCATAGAGAAGCGGTGATAGTCCAAGGGCCGGCAGCAATTTTTTGATTACATGGCCTTATGAGATGACATGAGAACTAGTCAAAGTGCACGTATTTTGATGCTAAAATACAAACTTGCTAGGTTAAATGTTAATCGTAGCGGTGTAATTAATGTAATTCAGAAGGAAAATCAACTTGTACTTGAAATGACCTACAAAGTGAATGCCAACGTCAAATCAAAGATAATGTGATTTTCTAAAACTTTCGTATCAAACGTTTTTTCTAACACCCTTAGTTTCTGATATATTAGGGTGTATCCTTTCTTCTGGGACACCATGTATGCCTTAAAAAGATTAGTGTCTCTCTACATGAGCATATGCTTGCATATAAGCGACTAGGATCCTGCTCATTTTTGAAAAAATGACGGGCTCTTTAAGAATTCGTGTAGACAATGGATTGAAACCTGTTATATGAACAAATGACATGTGCGCCCATTAAATTTTATTCTAAAGCTACAAATTACATTATCAGTCTACCCATGGATATATAAATTTGCCCGCCATAATCTGGCAACGTCGCACTACCCTCAAAGCCATAGAGATGCGGTGATAGTGCAAGAGCCGGCAGCAAATTTTTGATTACATGGCCTTATGAGATGACATGAGAACTAGTCAAAGTGCACGTATTTTGATGCTAAAATACAAACTTGCCAGGTTAAATGTTAATCGTAGCGGTGTAATTAATGTAATTCAAAAGGAAAATCAAGGAAAATGTTTGTCAACTACAACTGAAGGGTACAGGGAAAAAGCTGAATGTCACAAAAAGTAACTTTCGAGAAAAGTAAATTCAAAAATTTGAAGGCTCTTAGACTCGTTGTACAGGGTGGGTCAAAGATCTAGCGGAGTACCATAGATTCCTTATTATAAGAAACTGAAAAAAGTTAAGTAATAAATAAAAAAATATTTCATGATATACAGGGTAGCTAGCCCAAAAGTAAAAGCAGGCCAAACATTTTTTTAATGAAAAATCCTTTTAATTTTTGTATTTTGAGATTCTCCTTATAAAAATTCCCATTTGAGAAAATCAACTTGCCCTTGAAATGACCTACAAAGTTTTCTACCACCCTTAGTTTTCGATATATTAGGGTGTATCCATTCTTCTGGGATACCATGTATGCTTTAAAAAGATTAGTGTCTCTCTACATGAGCATATGATTGCATATAAGTGACTAGAATCCCGCTCATTTTTGAAAAAATGACGGGTTCTTTAAAAATTCGTGTACGGGACCTCGGTTGGCCGCGTGGGTC